TTAGCAACAAAATTTTTGGCTGACCTTTTTGATGTCTTACAATGATTAATCAAAGCATTTCAAGGGGATTTTATTACACTATCTGATATGCATTATCATTTAAATTTCATAATTCTTGCAATTCAAATAATGTTTATTGAGGATGATGATACACCGCCAACATATGGCAAACATTTACTTGAATATATTAAAAGTAATCAATTATCATTAAATTCGATTCTGAACTCCTTTTCACAATTTTCACTATCTATAATTCGAAATATTGAAAAAAGATTTTCTGATTCTGATTTTCATCATGCAATGCGGATTTTTGATGCACAATAATTACCCTTAACTCAAACCTTAATTAATTGGTATGGCGAAAAGGAGATTGAAATTATTGGAGAATTTTATGGTAACCAAAAGAATGATCAAGATGGTAATGTTTATGAACCAATAATTGATAAAAAAGAATTAGAAAGGGAATGGATAGTTGTACGACAATTCATAGCTAATTTTAGAGAATTTAAATTTGTTGAGTAAATGGTTCAGAATTTTTTTAACTACAGAATTTTCTTCTTTATATCCTAATATTTCAAAAATCATTCATATTATTTTAATAATTCCGCTTTCTAATGCTTCAGTAGAGAGAGTTTTTTCGCATCAAAATTTAATTAAAAACAAATTATGAAATAAGATGAAATTAGAAACACTTCATTTTTATTTAAATATCTTAATTAATGGTATATCACTATATTCGTTTGATTTTGAGGCGACATATAATCATTGGGCACAATTACCCATTCTATTTCAATGTAAATTTGTAAATTAGGTTGTAAATTTATAATTAGTAAACATTTTTGGACTTTTTTTTTTAATTATATAGTATTATCAAATAAATATTGATTTATCTGGTTTAATGGTATAATTTATTTTTATTTATTTTTTTTATAAAATTCTGCGTAAAAACATATTTGAAAATATTTGTGCAAATGCACAAATTGGGTTAATTTTCCGCAAATTGCACGTAATTTTTTTTGCGTATTATGCAACAAGCATTTGGGAAATTTCATACACTGATTTGAAACAGTGTAAGATTGATTTGATTTAGATTTCTAAATAAAAATTTTTATACTTTCTCATTTGTAATTTGTAAATTTTTACTTTACTTTTAATAAAGATTATCAAAGCTATCATATATAAAAAAAACAAAAAAGTATAATTAATTTTTTAAAATTTTCAGTAAATGTTTTTCTTATTTGTCATTGAATTTGAATTAAAGATAATTTATAATTAATTATAAATATTTTAAAATATAAAGGTTAATAAAATTAATTAATAAATTTAATAATATCATAAAATTTATTTATAAAACTTTTTGAATTCTTAAAGACTTGTATATATTTTATAATAGCTAATTTATTAAGTTTCTTTTGAAACTGCTAATATATAATATTTATTATAATTAAAATTTACTAATTACATAATAGTTATAAGATATACTCTTTCTGATAATTTTAATTTATATAATATTAATGATTATGATTTTCTTTTAGATATGCTTTGATTAGCTTATAATAAATAATATTTTATCTTAAAAAAGTCTTACTTTTTAAATTTTTTTTTTTTTTATATTATATTTATATATACCATTTAATTTTATGTTAAATAAAATTTGATTTAAAATACTATTTTTTTAATATATATAATAAGACTTTTTTTTTAAAATCTTTAATTTAAGCTAGCTGTTTTTTGTCAAAGATAATAAATAAAAAATATTATAAAATATATTATTCATATTTAAACATATTATTGACTTTTAGATATTTGTTTAAAAATATATTTTGATAAAAATTTTAATACAAAATTTTTTGTATCTTTTTAGACTTAAATTATTTAAAAATTAAAATAATAAGATAAATTTTTTTAAAAGATTAAAGTATAAATTTTGAATATAATTTAATAAATAAAAATTTTACTTTTAATTATCTCAATTTTTGAATTTTTATAAAAAAATAGAAATAATAGTTTAGAGAATTATTTTTCAAAATCTAATATGTTTTGCCTAATGAATTTTAAATCCAAACCTATTTGAAATCTCATATTTTAATTTTAAAATACATTTAAATACAATTAAATACTAATAAAAAAATTAAATTTATATTTTAATGTATTACTAATGTATTGTTATCAAAAATACTATATTAAAACATTAAACATAATGTAATTTTTGAAATAAATATTATTAATAACTAACAATTTTATTATTAATTAATTGTATATAAATATAAATTTAATAATTAATATTATTTTATATTACTTTATTTTAAACTTTATAATAAGTATACTTCAGTATTATTTTAACTTTTTTAACTTTCTAATCTGGAAAAATAGATTGAATTTTAGATAATACTTTTAAAATTGCAGTTCAGATATAATTTTTTTTATCTTAAGTAGTATAACAAACCTTTTTTTTAGATAATCAGTTTAAAAAATAATAATACTTGTTATAGTCTTAATAAAGTATACTGTTATTGAATACTTAATATTTGAATAGGATTATTTACTTAATCAAGTAAATGTAATATATATAATAGCTTAAAAATGATTTTCACAATTGATTCTTCAGTAAATATAGGATAATTATGAATACTAATATAAGATACTTAAATATTATATTTATTAATATTTTATAAATATTTTATGATATTTTTATGAATTTATAATAAATAATATAATATAAAAGAAAATCAGTATCTTTAATTTTCTATCAATAATATTTAAGGAATTCAACTATCTTAAAAATAAGTAATATTAAGTTTATTTAATAATATTTATTATTAAAATTATCTATCAGCTATTTATTATTTAATTCTAATTAATTTATCTACTATTGTTAAAAATATCAATAAGACAAAGTTGATCCAAAGGTTACTAAAATAATACACAAATTATTAAATTAATAACATAAGGTTCAAATATTAATAATATTAAATTGTAATAAATTCAGCTTAATAATCAGTTATTCATAACGTAATTTGTAAAATATATATATAACAAAAGCAAGATCAATTTGTATTTTATTATTAACCATTATTATGAAAACAAAGTTATCTTTATTTTTATTTTTATAATCTTTATATATTACATTATCAACTTGTATTATATCATCTCTTATTTAATTACTAATTTACAATTATTATTAAAATTATCATATAAATAGATTAGTTTGATTCTTGAAATTAATATGACTTGTTTCTAAAGTGAGTTGTAATTTTTAAGTTTATTTTGATGCTAAATAATAACAGTTAAAAAGAAATGATTAGTTTACTAACTAAATAATTTTATGATTATTCTTTTATACTAACATTATATTTGATACATATTTTATTAATAAAAGTATTTTCCTTTTTAAAAATATATTCTTCAATTAGCTGATAAAGGTAAAAATTTTTATTTCAAAGTTAGCTAAAAAAAAATGGAAAATAAGATCTGTTTAGAAGTTAACTTGTCAAAATGTACTTTAAACTTGAATGTTAAATAGATAAGATATGCTATTTTTTAAAAGAAATTGATAAGAAATAATATAAATATAAATAGCCCAAAAAGCCATTAAAGTAATAATGATTATATATTATAGGATTAAGATACTTTAACTTCAAATGAAAAATTTTCTTTAAATTAATAAATGATAAAGTTGCGACTTTTTCAGTTTCACAAATAAAATTTTAAATGATCGACATCAAATTCTTCTATAAAGAACGTTTTTGAACCCCTGTCTAGGAACATGTCCGTAAACTAAATAAAAATTTTCTTACTGAAGCCTCATAAACATTTATCCTAAACTATAAATGTTAATTATCATGTAATGATATTTTAAAAAAATTTATTGATATAAAATCTTTTACCTAAAATTCTCGAATAATACTGAACAAACATCTAATTTTTTTTATAATCGTTGTAAATGCACTTACTAGATGTGAAATTAATACAAACTTCTTTACAGGGATCATATGATACATAAAAATTTTCTCTTCTTAAGGATTCTTATTTCTCATGTATAAATGCTATTCAGACAATTATTGTAATTTCAATTAGGATTCGCTCACTTATGATCAATTACTTGTTTGAATGTTAATAATCAAGATATATATTTCATCAATTTATTCCTTTTTCATTGGTTCTACGACCAGCTTTCGATTTACCTCTGAATCGCGTCTCTGACTTTGATTCAATCATAGAAGTGTTTGTTGATGGGACATGTAATCGTCCAACGTGTTTATCGGCACTTTCCGAACAACCTGTCTATTTATGAAAATCGAAATAAAATTATAGTAAATGTTTAATATCTTGTAAGAATATATAATTTACCTTTCGTCGTTTGGATCTTAAATTAGTACTGGGAGACAACCAGCCATCTATATCTCTTGCATTATTAGAACTTTGAAGAGGATCATATATATTATTACTATATCCCGCTTGAATAGCAACATTTTGGACGATGCGTTCATTTTCCTGTAGTATGATAAAGATAGAACGTTAGGTAAAAGAATTCCATAGTAATTTAAGTATATCTGGAACAGTCACCGTCAAATTAGAATTTGATTCCATAGCTTGTATGTTTTTATCATTACTAAGTTCTTGTATTTTTGGAATATCATCATCCTTCGATTGGGATGTATTTATGTTAGTGGGACTATTTGTATTTATTGGCGTAGGTTCCTAAATATCAAAAAATACATTACATTTAAATACAAGACTGATTTTTTAATAAATACAGTAAATTATCTCACCAAGAGCATAAAATCAATTTCAGTTAATGTTAAAATTTTCTGAGAATGTTGGTCAAATCTCGTATCTCTATCTTCTATATTAGAAATTGGTTTCAAAACACAAGCATTTGCGTCCTATTTAATAGATTAAACAATTCAAATAAATATATATTTCGTATATTAAGAGGAAAAATAAATCTTTACTTCAGATGGATGTTCTTTTTTGATAGTATTCGAGTCTTCATTTTCTACATTTATTTCAATCTATAATAAAACAAGGCGAATTTTATCTTGTATATCAGAAAATACATATTTACTAGAAACCGAAATAATATTTGAATAATATAAAAATTTATAAAATAATACTAATACCCACTAATTTGTGTTGTAAAGATTTATTGTTGTCCTCCATTTCTAATATTTGGGACTTTAACATTTGCTGTAAAATTGAATAAAAAAAAAGATGATCAAATAGATAAATTTGATAAAAGTATTCATTCTAAATTCAGAAATCAACTTACGATTTCTTCTAATAAAGAGGCTTCTTTCGTTTCAATTTCACGAATTTTGCAATCACGCTTTCGAATTTCATTTTCATGTTCTGCAGTAATTTTTTTAGTTATATCTTGATAATAATTTGTAGTGCGATTAAGTGCTTGATCCACCGCTTCTTTGTTCTACAAATAAATTAATTTTTGGTTTAATTAATAGTATTATTTCATTTATAAAACTACGAATTACCTGCAGATAACTGTCGCTAATCTCAACAAGTGATTTATTGTGCTCATGTAATTTATTATACATTGAGTTCAATGAAACCAGCTGTGACTCAAGTGAACTGGACTTGGACTTGTATGTTGTAAACAATAAAATTAGATCTTATCATAAAAGGGAATACTTGAGACAACGTACCTTCCAGGTTTCTAACTCATCTATCAAGTTTTCGATCTTCCTTTTATTATCAAGGTTGTTTTTATTAAGTTCGGAAATAATCTTATTATGTTGAATTTGAAGATCTAAATCTTGTATATCAGCAGTTCCGACAGCGACTAAAATGCATAATTTTATTTCAATAATAAATAATTTGGTATAGTCTGAAAAGTCTGAAAATAAGCAAAAGTAAAGTACCAGTTGAACTATCTGGTTGACAACAATCCATTTTAATTAATTGGGATTCTAATTGTACAATCCTATTAAAATTTAACACATAATTAGTATCAAATAATTATCATTAATAATATAAGTATTACGGTATTTTACCTTAAATTATCTTTATCGCACGTCTTGGACATTTCATCTACTTTTCGTTCAGAGCTTCTTAATTCAGTTTCAATCCTAAACCGTTCTGACCTTTCATTCCGATATTCGTCTTCTAAACGTAAACGATGATTACGTTCTTCATGACGTTCTGATTCTAATCGAAGGCGTTCTTCGCGCCATTCAGCCTCAATCTGAGAACGTTCTTTGTGAAAATCATTTTGTAATTTATAACGGTCCCTACAAAATTCTGATTCAACTCGCTTAAGATCAGTTTCGTGTTTTGCACGCATGATTTCTATTTCTTGCTTGAGTGAATCGCGATCCGTTTTCATTAATTCCTTTGTTTGAATAATTTCTACTTTAAGGTCATCCCTTTCCTTTTCAGCTACATCTAACTGAGCTATACTATAAATAACATTCAAGAAAAAACCAAAGATAAGACAATAATATGTATAAATAAATAAATAAATGTATGTATATCTTCTATCCAAAATACCGTTCATCTTTCTCCTTAATCATGAACTTCAATTGAGTAACTTGAGATCGAATAGACTCGATTTTCCGTTCAATTTTATTGATTGACAGAGGAGCAATTCTAAATTAGACATGAATGAGCAAGATTATCGTCATTGTAAACTTATTCATTACAAATTAACCACATACTTTTCTTCGTCTTCTTTTATCAAATTTCGATTATCTTTAAATTCTTTATTCTCAACCTCACTTAATAATTGGTTTAAAATACCATCAAGTTCGGATGAATAATTTGAGGATTTACTATCTGTCTCTTGTATTTCTTGAAGTAACCGAGTTCTAATGTCCGTGAGCTGTGCATTTGCTTCAATAAGTTTTGAGCTGAATTCAGTAATTTGTACTAGTTGATCTCGTTCTAATAATACAGAAATTTTACAATAACGTTCAAATGTTAACAAAATAACAAAGTAATATTAACTTTAACAAAACATACGTGCTTGAGTCATTGCAGCATTATTATCTAAGGTTGACTTGTATTTAGTAGTAAGCTTACTAAATTCTGTGAAATTTACGATATAAATTAGAGGGATTTGAAGATTTGAATATTTGTAGTAACAAAATAAAACTTACCTGATCTCATTGATTCAAACTCTTCTTCCATTCTTTCTTTATGATTACATATTTCCTTCATATTATTGCCCATATTATAGAGTAAGTTACTAAACAATGAATATTTTAACTTGATATTATTGATTCGTTCTCGATTACGTTCGGTATAAATTTGTTGCTGTTTAATCATCGACTCCACAAGAAGCATACGTTCGCGATAATTAAATAAAGATTTTTTTTTACGTTCTAAAATATCGCGAAGCGTAGCAATTTCATTACGCTAATAATCATTTTAATTAAATTTAAAATATATATTATTTCATTGATTATAAAAATCTTAACCAAACAAAATTAAATATATTTCGTCTTACCAAATCTCCAATAAGGCAGTCCCTTCTAACCACTTCATCTTTCCATCTTTGAATGGTTTCAATTAATAGATTTAACTCATTATCATCATTTAAATTATCCTTTAATTCAGAGTTACAACGTGAAGGAGTTTGAGAAATAAGAAAATGATCGGAATTATTTTTATTAAAAGAAAGTGATCCTTCAACGTTAACTTTGTCGTTTTCTTTGGATATCTCAATCGTATCTTCTTCTATTAGTACCTCATCATTATTATCCGTTTGAAAGTAACCATTATTTGATAAGAATGAAGTTGTTTTCTGATCCAAGTAAGTGTCAGAATGTAAACCGTGAGCCGAAATTTTATTCTCGGTCAGAGATGATGTTCGCTGTGAGGACAGCTCTGGAGATTGAAGTGAGGTATTATTAGAATCAGCGCAAGTTTCTTTATCTGAAGTCTTTTCTTGAATTGAAGGCTCCTGATTAAGAGGTTCCGCTGTTTTTTCATTATATAAGGACTTTGCTTTATTTAAGGTAACCTTTTTTAAATTTTCATTTTCTGGAATCCTTTCTTCACTAAGTGTAGTTGACTCATTTGTAATTTCCTTTGATATGTTTCCAAATTTCTTGAAAAATAAATTTGCAAAAGTTGGAGTGTGTGAATCGCAAAGGATAGGATTTTGGGCAACGGATAAATTTGGTGGATTATCAACTGCTTTCTTTTGAAATTCTTTGAATGACAAGCGAGCTGCATTTGCCCTTGTCCTGAAATGTGGAGATACGAATACATTTGAAGCTTTAATATTGTTAATATTGGACGCGTCAAAAGACTCTGATTGAACCGCTGTTTGATTTTGCAAATTCATTTTTTCCTCTAAAAAAGAAATAACGATTTTGTAGAATCGGGTTTGGACCTTGAAATATTTGCAAGAATTGAACTTGTTAGTGATTCAGAATTTAAAGACTTTATTTCTGAAGGTGACATCAATTCATTATTAAAATTTTCATAAATAAAAAAAAATATATCTAGACGAAGACTTTTTTCAAAAAGGAATTATTTTTACGCTGCACCGAGAGTTATTTTATTAATTTATTATTCTTGCTTAAAATTTATGTAAATATATTTAATATATTTATATATAAATAAAAGAAAAGGAAAATAATTACACGAATAAAATCAATTATGAGACGCACTTCCTGAAAATTTTTTGATTATTGTTAAATAAGTTTTACCGAATTTTTAAAAACACAATTTGGTGACAGAAATGATCGACATATACAGTCAGACCTGTCTATAATCACCCCTTTATTACAGTATTTATTACCAACCATACGACTCGGGTCTGTTGAAATTTGGACTCGGATTTTACGCCAATGCATAAACATAAAATGTGGGAAAATTTTAATAATCTGTACAATTACCAAAAAGTTTATTGAACTAACTATTAATGAAAAATCATTTTTTTTTTTTTTCTTTAATTGTGGCGGAACATGTATATGTAGGGTTTTAAAGAAACCAAATACCATAGACTTCTTTTTCTGTTTTAGGTTCATAATATAAAAAGATGTATGTGCTTGGACTTTAACTCCACGAGTCAAACCGCAGTAAGTATTAAACTTGATTCGGATTTCCACATACATTAAGGTTTCCTTATATATACTGACGTATTATCGTAATAATTAGCTGGTCATTCGATTGGTTTTTTTAAGGCTTATACGGTGACCCTAATCCTTTAACCCTTAATTTTTAAGAAACAAATATTTCATGATGGAATTAGACCGTAGAAAAGAAGAGTTAGAAAAGAAAAGACAAAAACTTGCCGAACTTCGTCGTGCAAGAGAAGAGAGAAAACAAGTATTTATCAATGCGTCTCAGAAGCAAGAAGAGAAACCTGCGGTTAGTACCATAAATATTTTTCACATTTGTCTTTCAAGACCTTAATTCTTAAAGATGGTTTACCTTTGCTCTTATAGGAAAGGAGTCGCAAGGAAATGATTAATGAGCTCGTCAACTCCTTGTTAGACGGAGACCATCCTGGAACACCATCGAAAGCTGAAGATACAGAATCTGAAAAAGTGATACCCTCACATCATGCACGTCACAGTTCTGTTTCGACAGGCTACGGTATTTCTCCTGTAACTTCAACTCCTCAAAGGTAAATATAAATTGGCTAATATTTTGAAGATAAACTAATTTATATAATAATCTGTTTTTTTTTTTTTATATTGGGTTTGTAATTTAGTCCGAGCGTAACGGTGCCTCCTCGATATATTCCGGAATTCTCTTCATTTGAAGCAGTGATATTAGATATTGCTCCAAAGGTAGATAACGATTTCATTTTACATGTTGGTGTTACAAGATAGTTTCTAATTCGATTTTCACTATACATTAGGAACTCGTACTTTACAGTAAAGAAGTCCAAACTGATGAAAATTCCTTTGGACCATCACCACCTGATGAACATGAAATTCGTGCTAAAATCTTAAAAGAACAAGAAGAAAAAGAAAAGGCACGTCAAGCTGCTTTGGAAGAAGAAAAATTAAAAATCGAAGCGGAAAAGAAAAGAGCACAACAACTTAAAGATTTATCGGAAGAAGATAGAAAAAAGATTCTTGTTTCAAATGAATTTGCTAAATTTATTGATCATTCAACTAAAATTGTTGAACGAGCGCTTAATGAAAATTATGACTTTATGAAAGATTATTCAATCATTAAAGATAATGAAAAGTAAGTAATTACTTATTTATATTATTATGATTTTAATAATCATAAAAATTAATTATTTTTTTTTTTTTTTTTTTTACGATATTTTCTTTTCTTTTCTTTTCTTTTCTTTTCATATGTAGTGATGATCAATCAGGATCTAGGGTTAAAAATTTACATTCGTTCTTTGATGAACGATGGACCAAAAACCGTTCAGTCACCGATGTAAATTGGTCACACAAAGTAAATAAATATCTAATTTATTATTTCGTTCTTGATATAACCTAAATCTTTAGAATTTTAATGAAAGTTTTTAATCTCTATTTTTAGAATCCTGAACTATGCGTTGCTTCATATAATAAAAATCCTTTTGCATTGAATGAACCAGATGGTGTTGCTTTAGTATGGAGCTTACAATTATTAGATCGACCCGAATATATTTTCCATTCACAGGTAATTTACTTAATTTTATTAGAAATTTAGATTCTTAAATATAACTTAAATATGACCAGAATCTAATTTTATCAACAATTCATACCTATATAGTCGGACGTTCTTACAACCATGTTTTCCGAATTTCATCCAACTCTTGTAATAGGAGGAACATATTCAGGCCAAATAGTGCTTTGGGATATGAGGGCAAAATCTTTGCCTGTTCTCAAAACACCACTCTCAGCTTCTGGACATACTCATCCCGTATATTCAATGCAAATGGTTGGAACACAAAATGCTCATAATCTCATCACTGCAAGTACGGATGGATTAATTTGTTCCTGGCAATTGGATATGTTGGTCCAACCACAGGTATATGCTGGTTTTTTTTTTTTCTATATGATCTGTTTAATTTTTAAATTGATACGCTGCAATATGATATTCTTTTTAGGAAACACTAGAATTGGTTCACTCCGAACATAGCAAGACTGATGAAGTTTCGGTTACAGCACTCGGTTTTCCGGATAATGAAACTGCTGCCTTCTGGGTTGGAACCGAAGAAGGTGTTTGTTATCAAGCTAATCGATATGGACGTGCTGGCGGGTAAGAAATATAATTTTTCTTATAAATAAAATTGATTTATATATGAAACCTTGAGCTTAAAACTTTATTTTTATGAATTACAGTAAAGCTGGTATTAATCAATATGATGTTTACAAAGGACATTGGGGGCCTATTACTGGTCTTCATTTCCATCCTATTGCTGGACCAGTTGACTTTTCAGATTTATATTTGACTTCTTCTGTGGACTGGACTTGTAAATTATGGAGAGCCAAAGTAATATTGATGACAAATTTGAAATAATGTTATATAAATCTTAAATGAAGTCTAATTTTATTTACTCTAATTGTCAATCAAATCGTAGTCAATTTCAAAACCATCAACTTCACCACAATCAATCACTCCATTATATTCATTTGAGAGTGCTGATGATTATGTTTATGACGTTAAATGGTCTCCTAAACATCCAGCTCTGTTCGCTTCCGTAGATGGTACAGGAAAATTTTCTGTGTGGAATTTGAATGTTGACACAGAGGTCAGAATTGGTTGTTTTAACTTCTTAAGGAAATTTTAGTTTATTATTAAAGTTTTATCTTATTTAAATTGATCATAGGTACCAATTGTAAGTACCCAAGTTGGAAGCCAAGCCAAAGCTTTGAATAAAATTAATTGGGATAAAGAAGGACGAAAGACAGCAATTGGTTCTTCAGATGGACGTATTCATATTTATGATATTGGAGAGGTAAAATTTAAATATTATTTTAATTGAAACTATTTATTTCCTACTAATACATATTCTTTTTTTAAAAAAAAATTTTTAGTTGGCATACCCGCGCGATGACGAATGGTTTATAATGCAAAAAACAATTTCCGAAATGATTAATACCACCGAAAGTCATAGCGGAAGATATGCAATTGCTAAGTAATAAGTATAACAACAACAATAAAATCTATTTTTTTTTTTCTTATATATATATATTAATAACGTATTCAATGAAGTTAAGCACAATAAAATATAAATTGTGTTAATATTTTAATATTATTTAGAAGTATATACGGTGTAATTTATGTACGTATATATATATATTTATACATATATATATATATATATTTGTTTTTAGTAATAATTTTATACATATTTACACATTTATACTTATGGATTATTTCTTTAAAATATTTAGTAATTGTATTATTTAATATTAGAACATTCTAATAAATTTCTAGTTTATTGTAAAATTAATCTTTAAAATTATTTGGTCCTGGTTAATTTTTCTTCAATCATCACTTTAATCCATTGATATCTAATTATTTCCAAAATTTAAAATAGTAAAAGAGTAACAATAATATACAATTATGTCCAATATCCTTTGGTTTAATTAATAATAAGATAATCTTTCTATCAAATTAAATGTATAATAGATTTCTAATTTAAATTTTTATTCAGTTTTGGCGGAAGACCGATTTGTCATACGATAATTTCGTAATTCCATAATTAAAATAATATTTATTTATGATATCTTGTAGGAACAAATGGCATTTTAACAACTTGCGCTTTTTGCATACGATTTCGAACTTTAACTTGAAGTTTAGTTGAAGATTTGTGATATCCTTGTTTAACATAACCCATTGCAACATTCTTTTGCAATGAAGGAGATGGTCCTCCACTTGTTATATTACCTAATAAAGAAATAAACATAAATAAACATTGCAATATATAATAAAATTAAAATGTTAATAACAAAGAAATGTCTTACCGATTAACTCATTTTCATTATTGTAAATTTCGGCATTTTCTGAAATGAATGAATATGAATGTTGTTAACAAAACATAAAAAACGATTGTAATAAATTAATAAAAAATACCTCTTGCCGGTGCCCCTTCAACAATAAGGCCAACCCGTCGACGCGTTACTCCTCCCTTTATTTGAGGTAGAACATGTTCTGCTCCTAAAAAACCACCTTCATTTCTTCTTCGTTTGCCTAATAAATTATAAATGTCAAAGAAGTGATAATTAACGATAAAACAATTTCGAACATACCTATTGTCCACGTTAAACCAGCTTCTACCGGTGTTGTTGTATCATCAAGGTCATGACCATATAAACACAACCCGGCCTCTAATCGCAAACTATCTCGAGCACCTAACCCAGCTAATTGGACACCAGGATATTTTAAAAGAAAGTTTGCGATTTGGACAGAAGCTGATGATGGAATACCAATCTTGTAATAATAAAATAGAAATGTTTTCAGCAAATAATGAATATTATGTATGGACAAACAAATAAAATTGATATCTACCTCAAAGCCATCTTCTCCAGTATATCCTGAGCGCGTTACATGACAGTCGGAGCTTTTTATATTAAGTTGACGCGCCGTCATAAACTTAAAATCTGCCAAGTCTTTTCCACATAACTCTTGAAGAGCTGACACGGCTTTGGGACCTATAAGGTATAAATATAAATCTTTTTTGTCCTTAAAAAAAAAAGTAAATGTATTATTACCTTGTAAAGCCAATAAAGCATGGTCGTCAATAACTTTTAAATCAACGTCACCGCGAAACTTCTTCATTTCCTCGCGAATATGAGTAAGATCTTTATCAGCACAAGCGGCATTAGACACTATATGAATATAATCTTCATGTTTACATATAACAGTATCATCAATTATGCCTCCATTTTCGTTAGTGAAAACTGACAATGTAGAACTACCGAATGGTAATTCTTCTATATCAGCTACGACCAACTTTTCAAGAAAAGATATACGATCTCTCCCAGAAAGTCTTAAAAAAAATATTTGTATATATATTGTATATGTGTAAGGAAATTAATTCATCATAAAAGAACGATAATCTTATTGTTTTACCTTAACTGAAGCATATGCGATACATCAAATAATGAGGCGTTCTCACGAGTGTGTAAATGCGACGCTAATACTCCCAAGTTTGAATATTGAACTGGCATTGACCAGCCAGCAAAAGAAACCTGAATAAATATATACATATCACTTAATTCATATAATTTATTTTAATTAAATTTTTTTTTTTAAAAAAAAACTAATCACCATTTTTCCACCCTTTTCGACATGAAAGTCATACAACGGCGTCTTTTTCAGTAGCTATTTTTGAGAATAAATCGAAAGTCAAACACAAACATAAATGACGTTAATAAAAAATTTCTAAAGAATAGAATCTGTATAATAATTACCATAAATCGCGTTAACTTTGGTGTTAAATTTTAAACTGACATTGTTACCTCCAGCGGAGCCTGCATAGTTTCTTTTAAATATAATCGAAGATAAACCTAGCCCTTTGTTAGAATGTGTAGCAAACGGTATTACACGAGAGATATAGAGACACCTTTTATAATTTGAAAAGGCGAGGTTCAACATGGTAACTGGAATTTCAAAATGTTTGCAGTTAGGTTTTTTTTTTTTTTTTTTTAAAGCATTCTAATTCCTCCGATTTTGATTGGCTAATTATTCAAATTTTAAAACATTTGTAACGTGACTAAAGCAAACTACACAAATCATATGGAGAATTATCAATTATAAAATACAAAATAAATTCGAAAGCGGGATCTTATTTTTTTTTTTATATTACTTCCCTAAAGATAAAATACTATATCTATATTATACGTTACAAATAACTATCTTATTTAAATCCATTATCTATACACAAAAAAAATATTCAAATTAAAATTTAAAGAAATTTACCGTTTTTAACTTTTGATTTATGTATATTTTCAATAATATGGGAAAATATTATAATGTTAAAAAGAAAAAGAGTCCATATTTCACTATATTTTTTTCAACGTGCGCTTGCCTTTTGACATTTTAGTATCTTCACTCAGCTTTCTTTGCGAAAGACTTCGAGTAACTACTTGTATTTCCTCATCTTCCTCATCATCTTCATTATAGTTTTCATTTTCGCTTGAATCTACCAACTCTACACTATTGTCTACATGTCCATTGGCATCTCCCTCATCATCTTCAGTTTCTATATTATCATCTTCGGGCCCTTCATTATTTCTCAATTTTCTCGTTCTTTTAGATAATAGCTCCTTCTCCGCTTTACGAATATTTCTATTAAGAACACGCCACTCTTTCATTAAAGATCTAAGTTCTTCCTCTGCATCATCATATAATTTTTCCTTAGCCTCCGGATCTAATGTGGGATCATCAAAATTAAACTTAGCAATATTAATCTGAGCTTCTTCACTTAGGTCTTCAATGGTTAAAGGGGGTGAAGTCGATGAGGGTGAGGTCAATGGTGCTGCCGTAGATGGTACATGATCTTCCTCCATAATTTCTATTAACGGTTCATTGCCTTTTTCGATTTGTTCAGAATGTTCTGGTTCGGTCGAACTTTCAATTAAATTTTCTGCTATTTCCATAGGCAATTCCGTTATTGTTTCAACCATTGTAGACGTTGTATCAGGTGTTGTTGGTGGGGGGACCATAGGTTCTTCATCCATTGATTCGCCCGCAGAAGTACGTTTAAGTTTACGATTTCTTGAATTATTATTAGAGTTTTGTTCTCCATCATCTGATATATCTGTCAGACTGCTGCGTCGTCTTTTTGAACTTTTATTTGATTTTTTTTCTTCTTTATCTACAATTTCAGCTTTCATATTGTTATTTGAGTCTTTTATTGTATCATTATTAATCAGGGAATCGCTGTTCTCAATTTCAGATTTTCGTCTACGACCTAATAATGGTGGTTTAGGTGGATTTACTATATATACATCTATAGCGCTTTCTTCTTCAGATGGTTCGGCTTCATGAGAAAATTGAGAACTTTTATTACCACCATTTGCTATTGAAGATTTGCTCCTTGTTGAACTATTACGTCGTACTGGAGACTTATTTTTTCTTGAACGAATTCTTGATGGTGGAACTATTACTTCGACTTCTAAACTTTTATAATTGGATTTTGATCCACTTTTATATGTACTTGCTCTTCTCTTGGTATTTGACGTTGTGGTTGGAACTGGAGTGTGTTCTTGATTTTCCTCTATTGGCCTCTTCCAATAGTCCCATTTAAAAGATTTATTTGGTTCTCCTTTCCCTTTACATTGCATTGCCCTACGAACCCCAATATGACTTGAAAATTTATCACTATTATTTTTAAATGTGAGATAAGGTTCTTCATCTGGAATAAAGTGCTTCAGACCTTTTTGTTCGACTACCGAACTTAAACGAACAATCAGTTAGTTTTGGTTCTATTCACGAGCGTAATATAAAGTATGAATATTCTTAAACACATACTATGTCATATCCTCAAAATATCTTACAAGAAATTTTCCGGAAAGCAAATTTTCTTCAAGTTTCCCATCAACGTCCATCGATTCGTCAATTTCATTTTGTGGAACGATCTATTTTTTCACATATATTTTATATAACAATATTTTTTTTGTATAACATAATTTTATGAATTTATATTTATACTTACCATCGCAGGCCACCAAAATTCTGCTTTATCATCCAATGGATCAACTATATAAAAAATTTAAATTTAGTGTCGAGTAAGGATTGGGTTTGCTGTTCCACAAAATTTTTAAAAATAATTACCGAATACTATATCACGACCTTTGAAATTATTTTCTGATTCCTCATCTTTCGATCGTGATGCCTTTCGCTGAGACTTTCGTGTCTGAGGTTTTTTTGGTGTAATTATTACCCTAGACCTTGTCCTTCGTGTAAATTTACGAATAGAAATACCTTTACATAATATTGACAAATTTGTCAAAAATTTAAAATCTTTTAAAAAAGGAAATTTTATTTTTTAAATTAATTTACCTTCTTCTTCGTCTATGTCGACATCGTCTTCACTTTTGGTTGCCTCTGATTTTTCGTTACTATCTTCTGCTTCTTCTGAATTACTTTCATCTTCCGTTCTTTTCTCCTCGCTTTTAGGGCTTCCTTCTGAATCCATAAAAATAGGTCCCGGAGAGTCATACAATGGTGGTTCTGGTTCAAGTGCTTCATCCTCCAAGATGAAGTCTTCTTCAAGTTCTATATCTTCTTGTTCTATATATCGGTCGATTCTCATTTTAGTAAGACTCGTTCCGGGACCTTCTATCCTGTGCATTTGCATCCTTGTAAACCTTCGTCGCATATTCGTTTTTGCACTGTGATCAGGAAATAAAAAAAAAAATAAAAGTCTTGTTATTATAACAGTTAATTTGTTTGTGATGCATAAGCTAAATAGAAAATTTTTTACAAAAGAAATGAACACTTTGTAAATATGCTTGCCTTGTTTTATCTTCCGGAGCGGAACTTTGCTTTTTGTTCGCTTCTTGTTGCTTTTGTTTTATGTTTGCTTCTTGTGGTTTGTCAACCCCGTCGTCGCGTGGTTGAACTGTTCCTTGTTGTTTCTTACCAAAAAACTCCCAGTGTAGGCGTTCGTTTGTACAAAACCACGGTTTATTAGCACCGTTCTATAGACAAAATAAAGAGTGAATGTAAAAAAGTTGTATCGAAGAGTATAAGTGATTAATAGGAGAATATTAACGAAAGATAAAGAGTAAGCTGCGGTAATTGTCAAAAAAGTTGAAAATCTCACAGGAGAAGACGACACAGAGGTCATAACTGTGTTCACGCGCTACTTTTTATGCGGAATAATATTTGAGCAATATAAGTGAAGTAATTCCGCTTAAAACGTAGATGGCGAGAACCCTTGTTTCGTGGCTGCAAAAAAGGAAGAAGAAATAACTTATGGGAAAGAAAGATTTTTTTTGGAAATTCTTTTTATACCTATCGATGAAATCTCTGATTGGTCAGTTTAAAATTTTTATTTTATAATGGTACTTAAATGCAGAATATATATTTTGATTGAATTTATTTAATTTGATGAGTTTATTTTTGAATTTGGGACCTTAAAGATTAATGAAATAAATTTATAACAAAAAATTTTAATATAAGGAAAGACCGAAGAAAGTGTGTTTTTTTTCCAATGTTTCCCAATTAATAAATTCATTTTTGGTTGGATCGACGAATCAACAGGAAACATCGACTTGTCGAGTGGGCAGGTTGGTCGATTTGAAGGTTGATTTTATTGGTCAGATCTCTTCGTACGACTCCCGAACCTTTGGACTCTAGTATCAAAGTCGAGATAAAAATGAACTTATTTCTCGCGTTTTTTTCTTTTATTTTTCTTTTAAATAAATATTAACATTGTTGTGATCCAAACAATAAAAACAGACCCTATAATACGATCGACAATTGGTTACCTTAACATGGAAACCGAAATACCTAATTTAGAAATAGACTTATCTTAAAAAGTATTTATTTAATTTTGCATGCTTTTTATTTATAACTATTTATTAGTGAATAGAAATTAAAATTAAATATTTTAACTATTTTATTATTACAGAAACCAACCTGTTGCTTCTTTATAATAACTAAATTTTATATTTTTATTATTACTAATTTTATAATACAAGTTATCAGATAATTTCTATTAATCAATTTATATTAATTATATAAAAGAAATAGAAATATTAAATACTAAACCATATAGAAGCATTTTAGTAAAATCATATTACAGATAATATTATTAATTACATATCAATTTGATTTTACTGGTAACATTCATATATACAGTAAATACTGATAATAAAAAAAAAAAAAATAGTAAAATAAATTCAAATTTAATATTAATTTAAAAAGGTTTAAATTTTTTTTACTATAAATATTAATTTTAAAATTAACTTAAATTAAGATTTTATTAAATATACAGTATATGATTTATTTAAAAATAAAAAAATCTCTTTTTTTAATTTATATTTATAAATAATAATATTAAATATTCTATTTCTTAATCGTTTATTTCAAATAAATAAAAAAATTGTATATATATTATTATAGTAATAATTTTTTTTTTTTAAAAAAAAATATTAATATTTTTATTTATAAAAAAATTTTTTTAATTTAATTTTCATTTTATAAAATAAATGAATGCTTTATAATAAAAAAAAACTATCAAAAAAAAATAAATTTT